CAACCACCACGTAAGAATAGAAAAGACCGACGTGGCAGGAACTGAATTTCCTCAGCTGTGATGGTCATTGCTCGACTAGTCCTCACTGTATTTAGAAACACTTCAATTTAATAAACGAATCAAGGTTTCTGTAAATAGGTGAGGTCTGCTGAGGCAGCACAGGGGTGAGGGCTGTACAGGAGAAGGAGCCCTGGAGACGGAGCCTCCTGCCTTGATCCACAGCTGGCGTGGACCCCACAAGGCGCCCCAGTCAGCCTGGCCTGGCTGCTGTTGAGCTTTGCTCTCAGAGCTGACCCTGTGTGGACAGTTACATGGCAGTTGAATATTTCTGCTAAATCTGTTTCTAAATTTCCCTCCCTTAGTGTTTTCTACCCTGGGCAGAGCTTCCCCACCTGGGAGGGTGGAGACAAGTGTGGAAGCAAAGGGCTCTCCCACCCAGGACTGTTTCTCCAGCCACTGGGCGCCCTAGGGCCTCACTGTCAGAAGCAGCCTTGCAGACCACCAGCAAAATGATGCTTCGGGGTTTGCTGCGGATTCTGCCAGTTAATCTCTGCTGCCCCCTGGGGTCTCATCCATCATAGGGAGATAATTAGCCTGTTGTTTTTGAAATCAATCATCCAGCCTCACAATCATTTTCTCAAAAATGTTCTGGTGATTAAATGACCGATGATGACAATGGGGAAAAGAGCAGAGAGAAAACAGATGATGTGGCTGATGTGTTAGGGAGGGATGTCCCTGAAATGAAGATGGAACAGAAATGGGACAGCAAAGGACTCAGGAGACTAAGGTCTCTCTCTTCCTTTTGCTGGGAAAGTAATCGAACTGCTTTTATTTTAGTTTTTATGTCTATTCAGTATGCAGAGTAAACTGATTATGAGGCAAGCTACCACCTCGCATCCTCAATCTCTATGTCTCGCTGTCCTCTTCCTCCACCCCTGCAGCTCCCCACCAGCCAGTCCTGCACAGCATTCTAAAAGCAGGGGCTGTGGTCACGGAGCAGGGCTCCAGTCTTGGCCTCTTTCTTACTCACTGCAAGAACATTGTCCAGATTATTTTGCTTCTCTCAGGCTTAGCTGCCTGGTGTGTGCAAAACGGGAACCTGGCTGTCCCTGTGTCTGCCTGTTTGCTGTGAGGGATGTGAAGCATCTAGCCCAGTATCTAGTACAAAGCAGATGCCCAATAAGCATTAGGTTTCCTCTCCCCTGACAACCCAGCTCTCTTCTCCATCACTGAAACACAGGCTACCAGAGGGCAGGCCTGACACTGGCTGGTTCAATAGATGCAGGATACCTGTTATGCATCGATTGCTGAGAGGCGCGGGCCTGGAAACCTGTGCATCATCAGAAGGAATTCTGAGCCCTGCTTCTCCATCCATGAGGCGGAGTTGCCTCGTGCCTCCTCATCTCCATACTAGGACTAATGATGCCTGTTTTGTCTGCCATGCAGGGCTATCCAGGTGAATGACACTGGGGTGAAAAATCTTCTTGCAACTTCTAAGGAGCTAAATAAAAGAAGGCTCTGCCCCTCCCCTCTATATCTGTTAATGCAATTGCCCATCTTGTAAGGATCCATAAAGGTCGTCTACAACACCCTCCTCTTCCTCACATTTCTAATTGGTTGCCTACCTTTATAATGTGTCTGACCCCTAGAGTTCACTTTTAGCTGTTAACACCTGTATTTGTTTTTGATTGCTGCTGTGATGAATCACCCCAAACTTAGTGACAAAAAACCCCCACCAAACCAAAACAAACAAAAACCCCCCACAAATTATTGTCTTGTGGTTCCATAGATCAGAAATCTGACCGATTTCTGGGCTAACCCAAACTGGTTGTCAGTGAAGAGAAAATCTAACATTTATTTGAGGACCTACTTTGTGCCAGGTACGGTGATAAATGCTTCTGGAGGAATAACTCAGTGACCACACATTGATAGTCAAGGAAACTCTGCTTACACTGCAGTGTGTGAGAACCACAGGCCTAGAACCAACAGGCAAAAGATTTTCTATGGAATTTGCTGGATTGGGACATGAAAACAAAGTGTGACCTAGCATGGTGGGCTGCTACTACAAGATTTTACCTTCATTATCATATAATCTTCTGATAAGATTGTAACAGCTTTCACCTGCAGTTAGCTGAGGTAAATCCCTACAACACTGAGCCAGCTAGCAGGATTCTCATGAGTTCCAGGACACTGTGGCTTCCTGTTTCCTAGAAAAGTTGAAGTTTCCCTGCAGGTCATCTGGTCGACACCCATTGCTCATAAAGAAGAAATTCCAACACCTTGAAATTGAAAACTCTTTGGTGTGGTTGACTTTTTGACATTAAAATTTTGACTTCTGTTGGGTGAGATTTCCTACATTTAACAATGAGTCAAGTAGTGAGTTACCTCACAGATGCAGTAAGCAAGATAAAAAGGTGATGGTTTTAAAAAGCCATTTTGTATGTAATATATATGTTGGGGGCTCCTGTTACACATGCTGATAAATTCTTTGACAAGCTTCGTAAAACAATGGAAAGAACGTGGAATCAGAGTCAGGCGGCCTGAATCGAGTCACAGCTTGACTCTTCTTGGTTACCTTGGGCTGGTGACATTCAGTCCCCTAAAAAATTTTCCGGAACCTGGTAAGTGTGACAACAATAAATGAAAGTATTCCTTAATTCTTCTGAGTCCTATTTTCTTTAACTACACAATGAGAGAGTAAAAAAATCCCACAGCAGTAAACAAATATAGCTATCCCTCAGGGTCTGTGCAGGATTGGATGCTCACGTCCCTTACATAAAATGGAGTAGTATTCACATATGACCTATGCCATCCTCTTATATACTTTAAATCATCTCTAGATTATTTATAGTACCTAATACACTGTACATTTTATGAAAACCGTTATTGTATGTATTGTTTAGGGAATAATGACAAGAAAAAATGTCTGTATATGTTCAACACGGGCAGCATTTTAGGTCAAACTACATAGTATGTGGCAGCTATAATGTAACTTGAAAAAAAAAATAATTTTGATTCCTGTTTGGTCGAATCCACAGAAGTGGAACCCAAAGATATGGAGAGCTGACTATATGAAGTATCTGGTAAATTGTTTATGCACTACAGCACGTTATTTTCTATATTTTTAATATTTTATTAAATGCAAATGTAAGAGAAATCAGATAAGCAATAACATGGAAAAAGTTACCAACATTTTAAAGGATTTTTGACCCCTTTATTGCAACTGGCTATCTATTCAGAAACACCATCTGCATTCAATCAAGCTAAAAACAATTTTGGGGGCATGGCAGTTAAACCACTCCTAAGATTTTTCTCTTAAGATGCCAGCCTTGAGTCTCTGGAACATGTGGTAGGGAACCCACATGCTGACAACCACACGTACTTGACCACATTCTATTTCTAATTCTGGGACTCCAGGGGAGACAACTTACGATACAAAACTTGAACCTCTCATAATTTTGCTTGTGGAAGGGAAGCAGCATGGGATGAAGACATGGTGTTTCGTCCTGGGGTGGCCTCTCAGGTTTGCATGTTCTACCAGAACAGACAGAATATGGTCTTCCTGCCTGAGGCCTGCGGCAGTTGTGCTAAAGCCTGCAATGCTTGGAGCCTAGGCACCATTCTTAGAGTTAGAGAGACTTAGAGTTAGAGTGCCAGGTGATTTCATCTGACTGACTCCATTTACCCAACATAAAATGGTCCTGCTGGAGAACACCTAGTTATGACACATTCTATTATTAGAAACATCCACTTTCAAAATAGACTCTCAGCAGGTAATACAAGTCAGTTCAATTTATTTTTAGTTCTGCTTTGGCAGGAACCACAAAGGGAGTCTAAACTCACTTTTTTCATGCCTTTAGAATCCTGTTGGCATATCCTTACCAAATACCCACCCAACCCTTTCCATGGTGATGGATGGGACTGAGCAAAGGTCACCAGTGCAACTGCTGCCAAGTACCCCACACCCCTTTCCCAGAGGCTTCAACGCTTCTGCTGATAAATGGTGAGGATTTGTTCCCTTCAGAGATACTCTGACAAAGATAGAAGGTCAACATAAAGGGCAATAAGATGTATGAACCCCAAAGTAGTGTTTTCAGACAAACCAATCATATCTTGACAGTCTATTGCTCTAGTCTATGATTTGAGAGCATATTCTAAGATGGATAGGAACACGAAACAAGATAAAAGGCAACTATATTAAACCTGGGAACTTCCTTCTTCGTTAGACAAATGAAATATCTGCAGAATCTGATCCTATAAAGCAGACTGATTATATATATATATATATATATATATATATATATATATATATATATATATATATATATACACAGACAATCTTCCTCTTGAAATGTTAATGGTTTATAGGCAATAAACTGCCCTGTAGAAGAAATTATGATCTTGTTTCCACATGTCAAATCATAGGAGTCACCTATACTATATGTATTAGAGAAACGAATTTGAACAAGATTTAGCATTGTTGCAAAATAGAAGGTTGAAGTCCTCTAGGATGCTACATTATAAAAATCGCAGCCAAAAAACCCCACAAAAAACCCCACAAAAACAACTGCCCGCAACCCCCACGTCCCATTTCCTTTACTCCCCTTTTATTATTTTATTTCCACATAAGGTAATTTTCAATGTTCAGGAACCACAAGCAGAAGTATCAGAAGCAACAATGGGTAGGTGTGGAAGGTTATGGAAACATAAAAGAAAGAACAGAAATCTGTTTCTAGGCATTTTAAACTAGGTTTCAGAAGACTCTGAAAGCAAACTCCTTAAATCAGAAGAAAAGCATAGCACAAAATATACAGTACGTATCACCAATTATGACAGAATGCCCAGATGCATCCTTGCTTAGAGAGATGACCGTATGATAGAACCAGAAGCTAAGCAAGCCACCTCTATTATTTGGTATTTGTTAGAATGCCACTTCCCTTAGTCGAGTCTTAGAAGAGCACCGTGTTGGAGTATTATGATTGAAATTCACTGTCACTTACTAGGGCAGCTCTCTTCCTCCTCTGTCGGCTTCTCCTTCTCTGGCTTGGGAGGGCCTTTGATTTTATACACCAAGGCACAGAGTTTTCCAGTCCAGGAGGTGTCCTCCTCCTCGTCTTCCTCTTCCTCCAGGGGAACCCCTAGCAAGTCACAGAACAGAGTGAAAATCTCAAACAGTATATGAAGCCACCATATGATAGAGAGAACCTGAAAACTCTGCTTCCCACCCTTCTGGAACTTTAAATATTTACCTAGACGATGTCTTTTGGCAAGTTGTTTTAAAAACATGATTTCTTGTATACAAAAACATCAAGTAATTTCAATCTCAAGACTTAACTCTTTCTAATCTATACTCCCAAAGGGCTCTAGAGTCTCTAAAAAGAGTTAACAGCGAAGTTGTTGTCCTTCAGTCTTAGTTGTGGAGGGCACAGCTAGCTCAGCTCCAAGTCTAATCGCCATCCGGTTGCTGGTTGGCAGCTCATGGCTGCTCAGCTCAAGATGCCCTGTTCAATCTTAGTTGCGGGGGGGTGTAGCCCACCATCCCATGCAGGAGTTGAACTGGCAACTTTCTTGTTAGGAGCACGTGCTTTCACCAGCTGAGCCATCCTGACACCTGTTGGCAGCTCGGTGGCAGCTCAGCTCTAGTGCAGCTCACTGGCCCATGTGGGAATTGAACTGGGGACTCTGTTGCTCAGAGCTTGTGCTCTTAACCAACTGAGCCCCTTGGCTGGTCCCTAGGATCATTTCTTGAATAATTAGTATTGTAAGTTTAAAACAGAAAAATAACATCCCTGCCCACCCCCCGCTTCCCCCACTAGCTTCTAATGATGAAATCAGGAACAGGCTTTGATAATAAAGCTGCATCCCGGAAGCTCACCACAGTGAGTGAGAAGGTCATCGTGGAAGTCATACAGCTCCTCCCGGATCTCGTCTGGGCAGGGGCAGTTCTCTCCCAGATGAAAGTTAAGAAGCATGTTGATCTTTGAGGGACAAAGAAGAATGGCTAGTTGGTTCTCAATGTTGGTCCAAAGAACTGAGATCCTGACTTAGACAACTAATGTTCTTTGCAAATTTTATTTAACTCAATTTTTTTTTTTAATGGTCAATCTTTAAAAGTAGCTTGCACTATTTTTCTGATTATAAAAGTGGTTTACTGATTGCACAAAATTTGGATAATACCTAAGGAAGATTTCCTGAGATCTCACCACCCAAAGATAGCTACCGTTAATATTTTAGTATCCATCAGTTTTTATGTATGCAGATTGAGATTATACCCTAAAGTTTTTGAAACTCAGTTTTTCCACTAAACAATTTATCTTAAGCATTTTCTTATTTCCTTAACCTGATTTTTATAGGTACACTGTATCTCATGATATGGATGAATAGCAATTTATGTAAAATTTAGTGACCTGCTGTATTTGTTATTTTCATTTTTTATCCTTATAAATAAAGTTGATTTAATTGCCTTTTACATAATTTTTGTTCACATCTCTGACCATTTTTAGGATAAATTGTTAGAAGCAAAATGCGTGGATCAAAAGGCTTGCACATTTAAATGGTTTTTGACATGAACTGCCAAATTGCTCTCCAGGAAGCTCACAACAATTTGTATTATTACCAAATTTATACAAGAGTATTTCTTTGCCATCTCCAGTATAATACAAGTTAACACATTTTGAAATATTTTCCAATTTAATGGCTGAAAAATGTCACATCCCTGTTGCTTTAATTTACATTTAATTGGTGAGTTGAACAGGTTTTATCACATATAAAGTCCATTTTTATTTCACATTTTATAAACATCCCATCCATGATCTTCCTCCATTTCTCTGTTGGGTAATCATTGTTTTAAAAATTAATCAGTGAGTACTTTGCCCATCTCTAGTCTATTAGATCTTTGTAACATATGTTCCAAATATATTTCCCAGTTTTCAGTGAGCTTTTAATTTTGTTTATATGATTTTTTTGATATGTAGGTTTTATGTTTTGCAGCCAATCTAGCATCTTTTTCTTTTTTTTTAAATTTTATTTATTCCTTTTTTTATTCCTTTATTTTTCGTTTTTTTAAAAATTAAAATCTACTGGGGTGACAATGGTTAGTAAAATTACATAGGCTTCAAGTATATAATTTTGTAATACATCATCTATGTATCACATTGTGTCATTGTGGTTTTGTCTCAGGGACTCTTTTTTTTTTTCCTGCTACCTGTTGGCAGCTCAGCGGCTGCTCAGCTTGGGCTGGACTCGAACCGCTGTTGCTCAGAGCTCAAACTCTTGAGTGAGCTCTTAACCAACTGAGCCACTCGGCCGGCCCTGTCTCAGGGACTCTTAACTGTTTTTGTACCATGGATCACCGACAGTCTAGTGAAACCCATGATATGATTCCTTCTCAGATTAATATTTTAAATATATAAAGTATAGAGGATTACAAAGAGAAACAATTACATTGAAACCCTGTTATCAAGATCATAAGAAACCAATTTGTGATATAGTAACGTATGTACTTGCTTATTAATTTATTAAACAAAAGGATCTGGTGGCAGGTCTCACACCCACTGTGACCTTGAAGTAGTGATGGATGTAAATGATATTTCAAGGTATTATAGCCACTATAATAGGATATGAAAAAATATGTAATTTCTGTTGGTGACAAAGTCAGGTACTTGCTTTGCTCCCTCCTTTAGTAACTGAAAGACATGCTATCAGAGATGAAACGTTAGTAAAAATAAAGCTGTCATTCATTTCCCACTCAGGTTCCTGGATGTCTGAATTCTTCCCATAGACCCATGACTCCAGGCTAGTGACTACCAGGAGGGAGTGAAACAGTAACTACAGGTGATCGTCTCCATTTTTCTGCCTCAGGCAGAGAAACCTGAACCCCAGGCAAATGTGTATTTTCTTCTTCTGCCTAGGTTTCTAGCTTTAAAAACTTCACATTAAAAAAACCAAAACTAAACTATGAACCTTATTTAATACTGTTAGGAAGACCCTTAGTCAAAGCTTCTACTGTAAACAACTTTTTAGAAGAAGGTAGTGGTATGGTTTGTATTAAAATAGTATTTATAAAACAGGTTGGGAAAGCGATTTTTGTAGCTGTCCCACAGTGTTAAACTATGGTAATTATATCAACAACATACATCGATAGGTTGTTTATTGAATAAAGATCTGAAGATCTGGATTCAGAGTCAGAAAATTAATTTCTTTATTGACAGATCTTTCCTTCAGGGGAACACTTAGAAAGAAAGTCATGGGCCACCAACCTACAGGGCATAATCAAAAGGGGAGTGAGTTGAATTTTCTGCTGCAGGTATTACATAACCTTTAATGAAGCCCTTTTCAAAGTGAAAGCCTTGCTCACTATGTTTGGCTAATTTGCCAACAACCATTGGACTAATGTTAGTTTTCCCCTACTCATGGACTTAGTTACATTCCCCCAAGCATGTTTTCTTTTCCCATCTCTCTGAATACTGTTCGGATATAGCATTGATCATGTCTATTTCCTCCGCAAAGGTTACAGAAGGATGAGATCATCATACCACTGTTTGAACATCCTAATTCTTATGCATCCTATTTTCCAGGTGATTTGGCATTGTTCTCCCCTGAAACGAATCTAAATCGTTCAGACCTTTTGTTGATATTAAATTCTTAATTATTTAGACAGCTTTAGGGATAGGTTCCTTCTGGAAATGTATACTCTGGGAGGCGGGGCAGAGGGGACAGCTGAGATTGACAGCAGTTAGTGTACCTTCTTTCTTTCCATTCCTAGACCAGCTTCATCAGCATCATCTGGAAACTTGCTATACAGGCAAATTCTTGGGTCTCACGTTAGACCTACTGAATTAGAAACCCTGCAGGTGGGACCAGCCATCCGTGTTTTATTAAGCCCTTCTGGGGGTTTCTGATGTCTGCTCAAGAATCGTTGGCCTAACACATTAGGGAAGAATTTCTTGAGTTACAACCTTCTGAAATGAGTCTGAAATGATTGCTCAGTGGATTGTTTAGAAGGCGACAGGAGGAAGTGACAACAGGTCCTGGGAAGGCAGAAGAGAAAGTAAGAAGGGAGAATGGGGAAAGAAAGGGTGGGGAGCCAGCATGGCCCTTCCAGGAGCCAGGATTGTGAGCTACATTCCTGAGGACGGTGTTACCGGTGTTAGATGGATAAACCCAGTTCCGGTTGGGATAAGGAGACACCAGAAAACATACATAAACTCTACTTACTGGGTCACTGACCGAAGGTCAGAGAACATGATAGGAGGCAACTGCAGATACCTCTAACACTAAAATGAATGACAGCTCGTAGTACTTAAAGAATGTTTACTGTTCGGCAGGTATCCCGCTAAGCAATCTAAATGAATTATCTCTTGGGATCCTCACAAGAACCCTGGGAGGGAGATACAAACATTATGTGCATGTTGTGGCTGAAGAACCTGTGGCACAGTGAGGTGATATGCCCGAGGAAGGCCACGCAGCCAGTGATAGGGGAGCCTGAACGGGAGCCATGGTCTGAGCCTGTCACCTTCGTTGTAATCACATCAACTGCCTTTTCACTATTTGCAAATATGGGTCGACATTTGCCCACTGAAATGGGGAACGTTCACACTTGTTGCCAATCTAACAGCAGCCTGACAACATTTGTAAAACCTTCAAGAGTAATTCAAGCTCACGGCATTTTCCTCAGCACAGTAAAAATTACCTACTCCCATCAATCCAAGGAGCCTTCTCATTTTGCCTCCAGCAAAGAGATAAGCTTTGCCTGCTCTTTTGAAGGCCTCTATCGTTCAAGTGAATCTTTTAAAAGCCAAGATATGTGGTCCATTTTGGAGCCAATATAAATATCTATGTTCTACAAAATAGGTTAGGAAAGTAATTGGATCAAGTTGTGCCATGAATATAAAAAGGTGGTAATCACATCGGCAATGATTTATGAACAGGCTGCTTATATTATTAAATGTAGATAAGATCCAAAGATCTGGTTTCAGAGACAGAAAATGAATTTCTTCACTGAAAGATCTATCTTCTCTTTTGAACACCTAGGTAGCTGTGGCTAAGCAGCCTCCAGGATACGTGAGCAGCTGAGCAGCGGGACAAATGGAAACTTATTCTACAAGATTCCCCTCCCTCATTTGCAAATTTCTCACCAGGATTTTGAGTCTTTTTAAAAGCAGCCTTTTCACCTGGGCAAGGCTGACAACAAGGTGGGGTATTGCAACGAACAAAGACAACACCTCACAGAAAGGGATTCACTCATCCAGTCCTGTTCTCCAGGCTTCATGGGGCTGGAGGGCTTTGTGAGGGTCTCAGGCACCAGGAAAGGGGGTTTGGGCACTGAATGAGGAAGACTGTGCACCTACTCTCCTAAGCTGGGAAACGTTGACCATGTTCTGTTGATCTCTGATAGAGAGTAGTGACTTCTGGAAGTATTGCACAGACATTTTTCTAACTGGTGGATCCTTGCTGGGGTACGAGTTGGATCCTGACAGTGATCTGGTCTTTGACTTTGTGATAAGGACATAGAGTGAGCGAGGGAAGGGAGGAAACCCTGCCCCATGTGAAGTTTTGTTTGGAAAGATTACATTCCTACTCAAAAAATAATCGGCAGGTGCTCCTCAGCTGTCAGTAGCATGGGACTAGGCTTGTCTCCTGGTGTTTTGCTCGTTTTTTTCTTTTTTTTTTTTATTAGGGTGACCATTGTTAGTAAAGTTACATAGATTTCAGGTGTACAATTCTATAATACATCGTCTATATATCACATTACGTGTTCACCACCCAGAGTCAGTTCTCCTTCCATCACCATATATTTGATCCCTTTTACCCTCATCTACCACCCTCTCCCCTCTTACCCTCTGGTAACCACTAAACTATTGTGTCTATGAGTCGTTTCTTCATTTGTTTGTCTTGTTCCTTTGTTGTTTTCAGTTTTATATGCCACATATCAGTGAAATCATATGGTTCTCTACTTTTTCGGTCTGACCTATTTCGCTTAGTATAATAATCTCAAGATCCAACAACCAAAGCGTCCTTCAATAGATGATTGGATAAAGAAGTTGTGGTGTATATATATATATATATATATATATATATAT